ACTATTTTAAAAAATAAGATGAAACATATGTATAGAAAAAGATTACATATAATGAAAAATCAAGTGATAAAATGTATTTCTAAAATCACACAACGAATCCAAAAGGTTAGTCCTGAAGATAAAAAAAGGAAAACTATTACAGGGGTCAAAATTGAAACAGTCCAGGAACATGCAGTTTGGAAAAACTGGCTTTTACAAAATTACCTACACACTTTTACTAGAACTATGAAAGTAATTAAGTAACTTTGGATGGTATGGATAAGAACGTTAAAAAATTAAGTACTGCGCTCATTATCTTGCACTGAGGCTAACTGTTTATATGATTTAACTAGATGAGGGGAATCCTCATGGGAAGCACTTTGGTTTTTATGAATGATAAACGAATAAATCAAAGAAATCATCACTGATATGTTGAACGAGTGCGACATTATCATTAATAACTTAAAATATCTTAAGCCAAAATGAAAACCATATCAAACGATTTAAAGATTCAGAAAAAAATGTCATTAAACACAGAGATTTACCTAGGATAGAATCAGCTAAAGCTTTAATTATCCTATCCTATCCTACTTTGTTCCTTCTATCCTATTTATATTATAAATGCGGAAGTTTCTATGGATGTTTGTTACTCTTTCGCGCTAAAACGGCTGAAGGGATTAGGATGAAATTTGGCATTTACAAATAGTTTATCACCAAGGTTGACGTATTTAAGATACATTTTATCCCGATAATTATTTTGGTATCTATGATATCCCCTAAAAACTAACTTTAACGCGGAGCTAGTAGTAGACTCAAAATGCTAGTCTTAAATAATTTAGTTAGTGTAATGTTTTTGTTTTTGGCGGGGCGTTGCTGTGCACTGGCACACGTCGGAATAAACTGTAATAATAAAAAACTGTGATAGTAAAAAACTGATAATTAAGTTTTTTAATTTAGGGTTCCATTCTTTGTGATAAAATTACTGATAAAAATACATATTAAGTTTCAAAGACTGATAAGGAACAAAAAATGGTAAATTCAATATTTTATAAAGTTGATTTAGACTTTGTTGAAGACTATAATTTAAAATAAAAGATAAATAAAAACGTTTCTTTTATTTTATGCACTATAAAAATATAATTTTTAAATGACATTTAACTACTAGCTTTATTAATATAAACACTAGAAAAAAATAATTTGATGTCATTTTCAGTAAAATAATATTTCCTCTTAATTTTTGTTAATTTAGTATACTATCTAAGACTTGTTTTTGTTCATTAATATATTTTATTTTCCAAATTTAATAAGACAATTTTGTCAATTTATAATTTTGGTGGGACGTTAAAATTTTTGTTTTATGATTTCTAATTATGGTGGAAGAAGTACAATTTTATTGTGGTAACAATTTTACAATAAAAATATTAAGATTATTAAAGAAATAGTATTTTTTTTTTAAAATACGTTGTTTTCGCTTTTAGTTATATCACTTTTTATTAATTTCGTTAAATGAAAATTTCCAAAATTTTATAGTTGCTGAAATCAACTAATATCTCCATTGATTAATTGTCCACCGAATTTCATACTATAAATTTTAGAGTACCCCAAGGAGGTGTTCTCGGCCTTATATTTTTTATCATATCAAGTATAAATAAATAATATCCACTGTCTTAGTTTCAATTATACTAACAAAACTTCTGGCATCCTGCGAGAAGACACATAATAGTTGCAGAAGAAGATTTTAATCCGTGCGGTGACGAGGAAGAATACAACTCACCGCCCCTTTTCTTTCCGTAGGTGTCGTAAGAAACGACTAAGGAACTTCCATCTGCTCTTTTGGTGGTAGGGTGCCTAACACCCGCCTGGTGGTAACAAAGCACCATGCGCATGGTGAAAAACCCGTGAAGTGCCTTTCGCGCGTTTTGGGGTCAGCCAGCGTATAACCAGGGCTCGACTGGAGGTTGTCGCGACGTATTCGATCTAGGGCATCCGCCGAATCGATGCCGGGAGGACTGCATCGACCCGCCGGCCAGGGAGACCAGTAGAAACGGCTGTCTCGAGCAAAAGTACTTCTGCCAGCCCTCGCTGCCACCTCTGAGTTGCCCGGACGGAACAGTAGCTCGTAAGCCGCAGGAGAAAGACGATTTACTGGCAAAATTCTTTGCAGCTAACTCCCGAATCGATGATTTCAATGCACTGCCACCATCATTATCTCATTGTGGCACAACGATGCCTGATATTAAAATCAGGAAGTGTGACGTTCGTGCCGAATTGCAATCACTCGACATCCGGAAAGCTAGTGGACCCACTAGCTATTGCAATGAATGCAATTCGGCACGAACCTCACGCTGCCTAATTTTAATATCAGGCATACGGAGAGAGAGGCGGGAGATTTTTTTCAGTACTACTGCTGGGATGCTATTAGGTGATGGCATCGCTTGTACCAAAGCTCGTATTCTTTGGGGCGTATGCCTGAGGCTTGGAGAGATGCTAATGTGCAACCGGTGCCCAAAAAAGGGGATCGCTCAGACCCGGAAAACTACCGGCCAATACCAGTCACCTCAGTATTATGCAAAGTCCTAGAAAAGGTCATTAACAACCATCTGACCTGCTACCTAGAGGATCATTCCCTGATTAATGATCGTCAATATGTTTTTAGACCGAAACGATCGACGGGTGATCTTTTAGCGTACTTGACTCATATCTGGGGTGAGGCTATCAACAAGCGGGGTGATTCGTTGGCTATCAGCCTTGACATTGGGGCAATGTCCTGGTTCGTTGGTTAAGATGGGAGTTCCGCAGGGCTCAATCCTTGGTCCTTTCTTATTTTTAATTTATATCAATGATTTGCCCTATTTTGGAATATATAATATAATAAAGGATAACCATGAAATAGTATTGTTTGCGGATGACACTTCACTTTTGTTTAAAATTAAACGTAGGCAGTCGCAAATTGACGACATGAACAAGTCTATTTCTAAGGTAGTCCACTGGTTTGATGTTAATAATTTACTGCTAAATGAAGGCAAAACTAAGTGTTTGAAATTTATTTTACCTAATGTCAAACAGCTAAAAACCAATGTAAATATTTTCAAATTTATATGTATGACCGTTTGTTATAATAAATAAATAAATAAAAAAAAATATAAAGGATCGAAATGTGAGCCTTGTGAGATACCACAGTGTTCTTAGTAATCACACTAGATTCAAAGTTGCAATGGGGACCACATTTTGCTAAATTGTCGAAGAGACTTAGTTCTGCAGCATTATGCTGTAATGAAAATACTTCAGGTAACGGATATAGAAACTGCCTTACGGTATTTTACTGTGGGGAAATGCCGCCGACATTCAAACAACATTTGTGTTGCAGAAGCGGGCTATTCGATCAATTTATAATCTTAAAGTTAAGGACTCCTTAAGAGATAAGTTTAAAGAAATAGGCATAATGACGGTTGCATCACAATACATGTATGAAAACTTATTATTTGTCAAAAAAATATTAGTTTATTTACTAAAAATAGTGAAATACCTACACTTAATACTAGAAGTAAAAATAAGTTAACTTTACCTGCTACTAGGCTCCACAAAATTAATAATTCGTTTAGAGGTCTCTGTGTTCGCTTTTACAATAAAGTCCCAAGCAATATTCAAGAGTTAAGCCTGACTAAATTTAAATCGACCATTAAAGAGCTCTTGTTAAGAAAGCTTATTATAAAGTGTCTGATTATATTACAGACAAAAATGTTTGGGTTTGAACTGTTCCAACCGTTCCAACGGGTATTTCTATAAGATATATATTATGAATCATGTGTTGACGATACTTCTATTGAATTTAAAAGCTGTATTTAAAGTTGATTACATAAGGAAGAATATCAGACTATTTAAGAAGATTTGAATGACAAAACTGTGTGGTCATGATTTCTCCATTGTTTTTGCTTTGTAATTGTTTGCAGTGTCCCACAGATAAATGATTTAATTTTAAATAAATATGTTGTGGTTGATATAGGTGGTTATGGGTAGTCATGCTCTCTTAAAAGTCTCTTCGGTGGTGTCGTGTGAGGCGGGTCGTTACGTTCCCTAAAATATGGTTGAGCGAAGCGATAGCTGGTTCATGCGTCATGCTCGTGAACGGGTGCTGCCAGCGGTGATGAGTGTACCCTAACTACTTTGATATTTAAGATGTAAATGTTTAATTACACCTTTTATAAATAACTCTATTTGTATTTGTACTGTGTGACATAGCAATCAAAATGCAGGTGAACAATTAATGTATAATTTCACATTATGTAATGCAAGGTGACTTCATGAATCATCTCTGAAGTCATTTTTCAACTTGACGATGACGACTCTGTAAATGATAAAACAGAGAGAAAAAAAATACAGCCCTTGCTGAGTTTCTTGTCGGTTCTTCTCAGTACAAGGTCTCCCGCCGTAGATTTACGAACCGATGGCGTAGCTTCTAGACTTGCATATGTGCTTGTAACAGCCTAAACTGAATAAATGATTTTAATTATGATTATGATTATTGCCATGGCGTTCGACAGGGTCTGGCACAAAAGCCTTCTCTCCAAGCTTCCGGCATACGGTCTGCCGGCCCAGTTCTGTTCTTGGGTAGCTGACTTCCTGCATGAGCGTACAATTCGTATCCTTACATATGGTAGCAGTTCGCGGTTCATGTCAGTGAATGCCGGCGTTCCCCAGGGCTCCGTCCTATCCCCCACTCTCTTTCTGCTGCATATCAATGACTTAATTCCTCTTGGGAATATTCATTGCTATGCAAACGATACACTGCTCACGATGACACTTCGGCGTTTCCTCCCGACGGGCGACACGGTACAGGTAGTGACCGAAGCATCCGTGCCCGGTCAGTACCTGCACCATACGGAACGAGAGGCCGCCGCGCCGGTAACCCACCCACTCCTCCAACACTGGACAAATGGCCTCAATCGTCCGGTGGCCGGCGCTTACATGGGCGAATGCCTCATCCCATCACCGCAAGGCCTCTGTCTGCGCAGATACAGATTGAAAAACTGTAGTATTGATCTTAGTTGATTTTAGCTTACATGGTTGAATCATTTTCATACAAAAATCTGTTTTGATCGTAATATTAACAAAATATCATAAAAATGATAAACCCGCAACTTCCAAACTCTTAAGATCAGTTAAATGTTTAAAAAATATAAATTTAATAAAAAAATACTATTAAAAATATTTTTATTACATTTACTTAATAATATAAATTGAATAGGTATAATGTTTGTTGTTTTGCCACCTCAAAAATATCGATAGACAGTTGGTACATAAAGTGGGCCAATATTTAAACTTGAATTTTCATCTGTACAAATATGATATTGGGCATATAAAAAGGCTTCGACACAACACGAAATTATTCTATCTTCGGAGAAGTAAAAGAAACATTCAAGATGAAATTCGCTACGTGTTTCCTTATCCTGGCCTTGGTAAATATAATATTTTTTAATCAATCTTTGCATTCATGTTTTGGAAAAAATAAAGAAATTAAAATTCCTTACTACCCTGACAAAAGATAACTAAATAAAATGCAATGCAAATGCAAAAAAAACGCAGTCATAGGACCCTGCATTATAAAGTAGTTACTGACCACGACTTCGTCCGCGTTAACTTTAGTTTTTTTAAATTTATAAATCAAAAAACCTTGCATGTTTATGGTGAATTGCCGATTAAGCTTCTTTCGGTAATAGTTTTTTCTATTATTTATGCTATGAACTAATGAATTTTAAGTAATATCAAGAAGAAGAGAGAAAAATAACTTTGACGTCAGAAATTAAGCTTCACATTCTGTTTAGCGGCTTGAGTCGCATTTTTTTCTTTTTGTAATAAAATTTCAAAATGTATAAAATTTCCACATTGATTTGAACTCAAGGACGTTCCCGGTACTGCCATCCACATAATAATGCAAATCGAAATTAACAGCACAATCATACATATGGAGCGAAAACAGCAAAGGAGATAAGCGCTAAGCTTTGTGTTACACCAATATTAATATCCATTTTATCAGAGTAGCTAGTATCCACTACAATCTTAACGCATCTGCTAGAAAAACGTTTAACAATCCATTTGCACAATCGAACAGTCCAAAAAAGACAACTTGGATAGAAGACCTCTGTGCTAGAAGACCTTATCAAACGCCTTCGTCGCTTACTGTACCACAAACAGCTTACTGCTATAAGTATTGTATATGGAATGTATTGTAAAAATAGCACCGGGAATAGCACTGAGCCTTGTGGAACACCAATATTAATATCCATGTTGTCAGAATAGCTACAATCGAGTACAACCTTAATGCATACAAACAAAAAGTTGACAATCCATTGGCACAATCGAGCAGGCCTTATAAGCCAACTTGGATAGAAGACTTCTGAGCTAGACCCTATCAAAAGCCTTCGCCACTTACTTCACTACAAACAGCTAACTACTAGCGGTACTTTACGAGGAAGTAATATCTGTGCAAGAGACTTCTCAGAGCACATCAAGTCTGATCTAATATTAAATCTTTTTGTTGTTGCAGGTCGGCCCTTCTCTTTGCAATCCCGGTAAGTAGAACCGTAGCTAATCGAAAGAGATATTATTAAAAGAGTTTAAATAACCTTCTTATCACGGTACTCAATTTTAGTATTAAATGTACTACAACACTAACACGTTATTGGTCGCCCGACAGCCGCTGGATACGGCTTTGAAGATGTATAACTAGAATTTTCAAATTATTCTTTGATTTTTGGCACCACCCTGCAGCGGCAATGAATTGACGTGCCAGTGAATCGCACGGCTTATTATTTTCAAATTAGGTCCATTAGCGCATAAGATTTGGAAGAGCACAATCGTATCCGACTCCGACAGTTGCTTTGTGTAAAAAAATATAACTCTAGTACATTGGAAGCATTTTAAAGAAATCGTCGCGCCTTTTGTTTTTCGAACGAATAATAATAACAAACTCATTTCAGATCCATTCCTCGGGAGCTTGATTAGTGGCATCGGTAAGAATTTTGAACATGTTATTTATTGTTTATATTTTACTGTTGACGCCGTCGCGAAAAAATATATTATTATACACGATTCTCCTCTACAAAGTTACATAATCCTGACACATTAAACTAAATGTTCTTATTTTTTAGGCGGCGTAGTCAACTCTACCGGTAAGTAACTACCGGACAGACAACCATAGGTTAAGTATTTGGCATCGGTGGTTTTTAAATTTTGAACTATTATATTAATTACTAGCTGAGCCAGCGAACTTCGTATCGCCATAAAAATATGCGTTGTAGAAGGGTGAAAATTTAGAGTTGTATGTATTTTTCCGGTCGAGATATTTCATTGTGTAATTAAATAATATAATGTGAATACTTCCACAATTAAAACACTTATCTGGCAATAACTTATTATTTTATTTATTAAACTCAATGCTTACTCTTTTATCAATGATGTAGTTGGCGCCGTAGGCGGAGTAGTCAATGCTACCGGTAAGTCACTTACGTACAGACAATAGTAAGTTTAGTTACCCAAAACTGTTAAATAAAACGAAAACTTTAAAAACCACAATGACCAAAAGTAATCTGAAGAATATACAAATATAATGCGACCAGCGATGCCCAAAAAAATCGAATAAGGTTAAAAATAAAATATTTCTGTTGACCCTTTAGCTATATTATAACTACTTGTTATAATAATAGACTCAAACACCCTCAAGTTGGAGGACCGCTGAAGAAGCAGTTATTTTCGTTATTATTATTAGGTATAAGCATTCGAAGAACTTTTTTGTTTGACGGTCCCCCAACTTGACGATGTTTGGGTGTAACTATTAGAATAGTAAGCAGGTATGATATAGCCAAAGGGTTAACAGAAATATTTTATTTTTAACCTTTTTCGATTTTTTTGGGCATCACTGGTCTTTTTTAATTTTCAATTATTTTATTAATTACTAGGTTCATATAAACTATATGCTCTTTTATGCTCATTTGTCAGATCAGCAGCAGTAATTCTTAATATACGCATCATAGGTCCTGTTTTCGAACCCTGTTATGTTATTTCATTGTATGACTAAATAAAAATAATATTTCGTGCATAGTTTCACTATTAAGAGAGGTTTTGACAAAAAATGTCATTTCATTATTAAACTTAACATTTTTCCTTTCATTAACGGTGTAGTTGGAGCCGTAGGCGGAGTCGTCAACTCTACCGGTAAGTAACTCACGTACATGCAACCATAGGTAAAGTTATCTAAAACTGTTAAATCAATTGAAAATTAATAAATCATTACTACTAAATTGAAACTAAAAACTATATTTTCAATTATAGTTATAATTATGATGTACCTACGTATAAACTCTATGTTATTATATGTTTAGTTAACGTAGTAGCAGAGGTAATGCCATAAGCCCCAATGTTCCTGGTTCCGAACGCTGTTAGTGATAATTCATTGTATCACTAAATAACAATAATATGTCGTAAATAGTTTCACCATTAAGTGAGGTTTTTAAAATAAATATATTATTTAATTATTAAAGTAACATTTTTCCTTTCATCAACGGTGTAGTTGGAGCCGTAGGCGGAGTCGTCAACTCTACCGGTAAGTAATTCACGTACATGCAACCATAGGTAAAGTTATCTAAAACTGTTAAATCAATTGAAAATAAAAAAGCCCTACTACTAAATAAAAACTAAATTTTCAATTATAGTAATAATAATGATGTACCTACGTATAAACTCTATGATATTTTATGTTTAGTTAACGTAGTAGCAGAGGTAATGCCATAAGCACCAGTGGTCCTGGTTCCAAACCCTGTTTCATTGTATCACTAAATAACAATAATATGTCGTGAATAGTTTCACCATTAAGTGAGATTTTAAAAATAAATATATTTGATTAATGAACGTTTTTCCTTTCATCAACGGTGTAGTTGGAGCCGTCGGCGGAGTTGTCAACTCTACCGGTAAGTAACTCACATACAGGTAACCATAGACCCAGTTTTTGAAATTGGTGGTTGTGCATATAAACTATATGCTACTTGATGTTCAGTTATCATAGTAGCAGCAGTAATGCTTTAAACAAGCACCATTAGTCCCGGTTTCGAAACCCGGTCGAGATATTTCATTGTGTAATTAAATAATATGATGTGAATAGTTCCACAGTTAAAATACTTATCTGGCAATAACTTATTATTTTATTTATTAAACTCAATGTTTTCTCTTTCATCAATGATGTAGTTGGCGCTGTAGGCGGAATAGTCAACGCTACCGGTAAGTAACTTGCGTACAGACAACTACAGGTTAAGTTACCCAAAACTGTTAAATAAATTTAAAGCTTTGTTAACCCCAATGCTCAAAAATAATCTTGAACGTAAAAAATATAATGTGCTAGTGGGCCCTTTAGTTACATTATAACTACTTGTTATAGCAATAGTTAGACCCAAACACCGTCAAGTTGGAGGACTGCTGAAGAAGCAGTTATTTTCGTTATTATTGTCAGGTATCAGTATTAAAAAAAATTGTTTGATGTGCTCTTAAATTGCGGTCCCTCGACATGACGATGTTTTAGTGTAACTATTAGAATGGTAGGCAGTTATAATATAGCTTAAAGGTTTAGTAGAAACATTTTGTTTTTCACTTTTTATATTTTTTTTGTGCTTCGAGGGTTTTTAAGATTATCAATAATAATAATTTCAATAATAATTATGAGGTACCTACTTATAAACACCATAGGTCCTAGTTTCGAACCCTGGTCGAGATATTTCATTGTGTAACTAAATAATAAATTATAAACTATTAAAGTTTCAAATTTAAAAGTTTTTAATCAAACTTATTATTTTACTTCAAATGGTAAAACTATGTTTAACACTTTACTAAAGCTTATGATGCTATGAAATATAAAATATTGATGCATTCATTTTTGTTTTAGGTAACGCAGTTGGAGGTAATTATATAAAATTAATCAGAACGGAATTGTATCCGACTAAGAAGAATTTGGACAGACGCTTTGAAAGATGATTTAATAAAGATAGAAGTTATTGTTGACCTTACTAGTTGTCATGAAATATACACACAACCCTATTGGGAACAGTTTAGGCGAATAATTATTCGCCGGCCTTGTCTTCTTTATTTAAGGTTTTTTAGTATCGGATACCTTCGATAAAATGTTCTCAAAAAGAAAATACTTTTCAGTATTTCGAAATTCGAAAATCGAAATTCTATGTATCGTCAATGAAAATACTTAAAGTATTAACGACCCATAGAGATTTTGATTCGAATAATCAAAAATCAAAGTCGTGGAACTTTTCGTAGTATAAAGTTACTGAGAAACCTTTTATTTTAAAGCTTCATCATCAGCCTATTAATGTCCCCACTGCTGGGGCACAGGCTTCCCTATGGATGGAATAGGGAGATTGGGCCATGACCCACCACGCGGGCCCAGTGCGGGTTGGTGGGTGCTAACGACTGCAGATGCAGCCGGGACCAACGGCTTAACGTGCCTTCCGAAGCACGGAGGAGCTCGAGATAGTAAATTATGGTCACCCATCCAATGACCGACCACTGCGAAAGTTGCTTAAATTCAACGATCGCTGCGGAACGCGCTAACCACTTGCGCCATCGAGCTCCTCGAGTACGCTTTAAAGCTTAATTGATTGTAATTGAGTTTGCATTAAATCGTTTAAATATAAGAAGAAGTTTACGACATTTTCAGATTAACTAAAGTGTTATAGCGTTCAACAGGATTGTTACCATGTACCTTGTTCGGCACTGTTGCAAGCGCCATGATCACGGAGTTAACTAAAGTGATTTGTTTTGCAGGTATAGTGAACGGCATCACCGGGGCAGTTGGTAATTTTTTTTTTATTTTAAACAGTAACAGTTGTTAAGCTTTGTTGTGATCAGGTTAAAGAAATATCTAGAAATCCAGAAATCCAGAATCAAAATCTGCTAGTAGTTAGTGCATATGGTTCCGTCATCCTTCAAAGAATTTCTGAATAAAGACTCAATAGTGATTCATTACACTTATATTTGATGTTTTTTCCTTCCACCAGAGGCAACACTTAACAGCGTACTCGGCGCCGTTGGTAAGTAACGTTTTGTACAGACATTTATTAGCCAAGTTTCCCAAAACTGTCCCTTATTTTCCCAAACTTATTTTGGGTTTATACGACTATTGACATAAGATTCACTATGGATCAAGAAAAATTGCAATTTGGTGTAACTTGATATTTTGCCTGAAATTACAATCAATAGCTTATTTCAAATTCTTCTCGTACATCTAAGGTACTGTATGTACTACATATATCGGTCGATGCTTGTTTTTTCCTTTATGGGGCCTCTTATACTTTAAATCTTAAAGTATTAAGACCGCGAGCCTGGGCTTCCTTCGTAAATCAAGCAGAAACCCGTTTCAATTCCAAACACATTAAATATATGGATTTAACCTAATTAATTTTACTTATTTACATTTGTTTCAGGTGCTGTAATCAAGGGTATTTATTTATTTTAGCTAATTAATTGAATTACTGTTTAAAAGTACTGAATTAATTGTAAATGCATATAATCTGAATATTCTGTAGATAATTTTATATAGAACAATAATAAGCGCAATAGTCGAATGATGCAAAGTTCAGATTTGTTCAGACAGATTCTGAGAAATTCAAATCATATAAATAGGAATTGAATGAAAAAAAAAACTTTATCTTATTAGATAGTTAGTCCACTGATTTATTTAGCAATAACTGTATAAATATACAGTTATTGCTAAATAAATCAGTGGACTATACGAATTCTCGGCCTGGATAAGTACCGAGAGAAAATCCACAATACACAGTCAAATGATAATTGCAATGGAATTCCTTCAATTTCAGGTCTCGTCGATCAGTTGGTCGCCCTTGTCAACACTGCCATTGGAATCGTGCAGTCAATCGCCGCTGTCGTCCAAAGTAAGTATCCCCAAGGGACTTTTTAAAATAATACCTTCTGTACACGTGTGACCCGCAGGAAATGTTAGCCTTGTGTTTAGTTTTACTATATGAAGGCAACTAGACGTTGACAGCAATACATGTTTAAAATAAAGTTTCTTTAAATTTACTGAATTCAACTTAACGCATAAGTATATGCATAGGTATGTTATAAATGATATTTCGGCATAAATCTCTAAGTCTAAATTTGAGTCTAGTTAATTTTATCGCGCTCTAAAGAAAATAACAAAGAAACATTTGTCAAATTTAGTTTTTTTGAATCATTGAAGTGTAAGGTTTAGAGATTGCGCTGCGTTAAGCGGGAGCATAAGAGCGGGCGTCCACTCCGCGTACTGTTTCATGTTATTTCATAATGTAATAGATACGCAATATATGAATTTAATGTAATTCCTTCATTTCTTGTTACAGGTGTGGTGTCTTCTGTCGGAAGTGAGTGTCTTTGAGAATAAAGATAATGTGACCATTAATTGTATCGTGTGTTCTCGAATCCAAAGGTGTACTGAATATTTAGTTTTTTGCACGAGCTGATAACCATTTATAATCAAAAATCATAAGCGAGACCTCAGACATGTCTAGCTCTATTGATTTGATTCCAGATCCTGTGTAAATCTTAAATACCACCTGTTTTTAAGAAAAGAATAGATAGGTTTTCACTTTGATGTAGAAGAAAACAGTTTTTTCTCTTTAAAAAGAGAAGGTACCAGTTTAAGCAAAAAAATGGAAACGATACTTTAAAGGGCAATTTAAAAGTTTATATCTTTTACAGGCGCAGTAAGCAGCGTAATTAACAGCATTGGTAAGTGAAATAAGGATTTTGTTATATTCCCTGAAATGTGTTGACATAAGATTCACTAGCAGAATAGCCTTCAAAACCCCTTCTGAATTAGAACGCCATTTTGTTTTTAGCGGAATTTTATTGGTACCCGCACTTCACAACTCTTGGTATTTGAGTTACACTGTACATTCAAGCTTCATTTATGTCTTAAATCAATCCTTAATAGATTCTCTACAAACTTTATTTTTAATTTATTAAATGTGTGATTAAAAATCAGTGGTTAAATGGCGAATTACTAGAAACATCGGTAAAAATCGCTTTTTTTTATTACTAAGTCTGTTTTAGTAACTCGTGGCAGAAATCTACCATCTCCAGAGACGTTGAGTTTTTTGACCGATGCAATGTGTACTTTCATCGTCCCGTATTTTTGATGCTTAGTTAACCCCGCTAGGATATTGACATAAATGATTTAATCATATTTATCTTCAATTGTTTCAGGCGCTGCACTTCAAGGTAAAGGGCTGGATTAAACCTTTTTTTTTAATTAAAGTGCATTCTTCCAGTGATTAAGTAGATTTTTCAAAATAGATAATATTTTTTTTTCTTGTTAGCGTATCGTAACTTATTTTTAAAGTTGCCAATAAGGTAATGCTATCAGCAAAATCAGAATTAAATAATAACCTAAATCGTTATATGTATTTTAATGGTTAAAACTTAAAATCAATTTTAAATTATTAATTAATAATAAATCTTTATTTGCTAGTGAACAAAGGTGTGTGCTGTAGTCGATATAATGAAAAGCATTTACCAATTCCAGGACTCGTCAATCAGTTGGCTGATGTCGTCGCAGCGATTGCTGGTGTTGTCAAACAAATCGCTGACACCATCGCAAGTAAGTTAAATTGCGATTATTACTGGTAACCTTTTGATATAAATAATGACGGATTTACAATACAAAATTTTTTGGGGACTCTTACTTACCTTGACTAAGAGTGCTGTAAATAGGGTATTTGATAGTATTAAAAATAAAGTGCCAATTGTTAGCATCTGTATTTAGAATGAATATTGGCAGGAGTTTTTACTATTTTTACAGAAAAAATATTCATAATTTTACTAAAATAACCCACGATAAAGATAATAGTTTTCTTGTCTATTGTTACGTGACCCACAACGCTTGGGATTGTTGGAGCCTAAACTGACGTCACACGCAAGTAAACTTCCGGTTAAAGTGATATTTCATTGTATGGTTTGACGTTTTAATGACAGTCATGTGACGTCACACACCAGTGAGACGCCATATTGTCCAGAGATACGTTTTTGATTTGGTTTTTTACCGTAATACACAACATAATGATGAATATCCTCTTTTTATGGACTCTATAAACATTAGTAAATAACGTGAGATCGTTTTCTAAAACTTGTCAAATTGCTTGCAATAGGGTATTGCTTAAGGGATCTAGGGCGATAGGCGCGGTGTAAAATTGCTACCACTAGCTAGGGGCCACGCCCACCCTTTCGATCGGTCTCTTAAAATTAGGTAGTGTGAAACCCCTTGAAATCATTTAAAAAAAGCCTAGCTTATTGGTGATGTTATTTCCTTCTCACTTCTACACTAGAGCTGACACCCGATTGAGTAACAAACTACTATCCATTTTATTCTTTTACAGGCGCCGTTTCTACCCTAACTTCGGCCCTTGAAAAAACTATTGGTAAGTTATGTTAAGATTTTTTTTTCATACATATTAAAATTAGGTATGTTTTTATTTTCTATGCATTTAACTGCTAGATGTTTAAATCTAAAGAAAAGTTTTTCTTTAGGACGCTATCAAAAACAGAGTTTCACTCACGCGGTACCTCTAAAGTACCACGTGGAGCAGTTTTAAGTCCAGTAATCTTTCTTATATATATTTCTTATATTCTTATATATTCAAAAGAGTTTTTGGATAGTCCGATATATTTTCCTACCACTTTATTCTATTTTTCTTTTTTAATATTGGTTTGCACTGTTCTTTCACAATAATGTGTTTTTATTAAAATTTAATATTTATGCCGTTATATGACATGTTTCAGGAACTGCATTAGCAGGTGAGTTGTAAATCAGTTCACATCAGAGAGTATTATTAGTTTATGCGCCCAATGAGTCTTAGTGTCGCCGCCACCCCGGACCACCGGCCACAGCCACAAAACGCCGCCACCGGCATATTTCTTGTAGTTTTCATACATTTTATATGGACTCGCCACACACGGTACGCCGGTGGCCGCCACACGCTACAAATCGTCGTTGCTCGCTTCTTGTAGCCCGCACTGGCCACTTAATGCGCCGATACAAAACGCCGCCACACGCCACTTGCGCGATTCCCCCACCTCCCTTACCTAAGTCGGCCGCTGTCACGCGCTTCAGCCACTTTAGTAGCCGCTTCTAGCTTCTCGTGGCGGCGTTTGTAGCTGTGGCGTGTGGCCCGTGTGCGGCGACACTTATGCATCTGTTATAAAAGGGACAACTAATCAAATATTTACAATTTGATATAACTCGCGTGATTCAAGTAACCAATCTGAAATGGCGAACTTTTAGATATTTTCCTCTATCTCGCACAATGCTCTTCGCTCAATCTTTTACTCAATTTCGGCCCGACACCAGCATAATACATATTTGATTCAACTAGGGTCTATAATGAAACGAATTGAAAATGTAATGTGCGAGAGGGACATAATGTCATACGTCGCGCTGGATTGATTTAAAGGCCTGCGCAGCCGGCGGACTTTTGCCCGCATATTATGAAAAAAATGTCTGCTGAGGACTTTTGTCACGGATCAATGTACACGGTGTGAGGACATTGTTGCTCGCAAATTTAATGAAGCGCACGCCATGAAAGCAATATTCTGATTAACCGTTGTATTGTAATTAACATGAAGTTTAAGAAAAAGTGAAGGCGCTCTTAAAGAGAACACTGAGTGCATCCCTTTATATCGAATTGATCATATATTTGTATTGTTGAGTTTTTTTTATTATGCTTAAACAATAACATTGAATAAAACAATGTTTCACGATCTTTTTGAACGATAATTAAATATAGTTTAAATGTAAAGCGATGCAAAACATACTAACAATATACTTGATCAATATCTTGAAGTTGATTTAGTCACTAAATCACACATGGCGGTCAGCCACAATAAAAAATGTGATTACTTAATTTCTACTTTTTAATTCCAGACATAGACAACTCTCCTCAAGTTTTTGATAAATCCGTTAAGATTATCTTATTTGCATTTTTGATGATGAAATCTATAAACGCTACAAGATAACTTCAACAAATATTTCGCCATTGTCCTTTAGGTCGTTATATTCTGTTTTTGATGTATCCGTTAAAAGGGTTTTTTTCAATTTTTTTAATTAGAATATTACAATCGATTTCATATACGTAGGTACATCATTCTTGTGGACGCGGACTAAAGCCGCTGTGTGCGTAACTACCTTTTGTTACATATGTTCTATTTCTTTTCGCGGACTCTCGCGTAATTTTGTCCTGTCCGGTCCCTCGGTGTCCGCGGTATTTTGAATCCGTCCGCGTTACTCGATAAAGTTGTAAGCAATCTATTACGGCGGGATCCTTCCCGGCAAAAGTCTCTCGTCTGCGCAGGCTATAACTGTTTCTCTACATGTGTGTGTGTCTGTGTTTGTTGGATCTATCTACGAGTTATAAATAAGCCAGTAAAACTTTAGCACATTGCGATCTAATATAAAGTTTCTTTTTCTTTTGCAGGCGTCCTTGGCGTAGTGTCAACCCTTGTAGGAAGTCTTGGTGACATTCTCAAATCCGTTGCAGCTGCTCTTAGTGAGTACAATCTTTACTTATTCTTCTAAAAATGATTGAGTCCATTTGCACTTAATGAAAAAAAGATTTATGCGATGGAATTACATCATATGCTTTCCTTTTTCAATTTCGATTATAGCAATTTTCTTTTTTGTCATCTTCATCTTCTTTAGGTAATGTATTGTTTTCTTTTTTTACAGAACCACAGTAAAGTAAATCTTCTTTGCCGTCCTTCAGATAGGTAAGTTTGTTATCCATATTATAATATATAATATTCAATTCTCGACAAGTCACAAATAGTGTTTGGTCGCATGAAGCACGTAGTACGTGAAAAAAACATTAAAATTTCATTCTATTAATAAACATAACTAGGGAACAAACATCTGTGATCATCACACAAAGCAGTGCTACTGCAGAGATTTGAACCCGGTACTATTGGAGCAGAACCGGTTGTCGTGGTGGGTGTGAAAGGTCAATGAGTTTCCAATGCGCTAGGTCGTGTTAGCTCGGCAGCCGCAGCCAGACTGATGTTGGTCTGGTATTGTATTGTAAATATTAAGTGTTAGCCTCCGATTTTCTCTAGCGCGATGTAGGCTTCCATTATAAGTTATTGAAATTCAAATGAAATGCTTTTTTCTTATGTCCTTCTCTGTTGTTTGTTTCAGTTGACAAATCGATATCCAGCAGACCAACGATCTTTAAAACTACTCAAATTCACAAGAATCGATATCGAGTAACTCAGGAGGATCACTTCAAAATAAGCGAAATTCATTATTTGACATGTCTAAATAAATAAGAAGCAAACTTAATCTTAGTTTCATTTCATTTTCATTATCTATTAAACATGATTCGATATTTTTTGAAGTGGCGTGTCTAGGATTCGGATTTAGGGCGAGCTCGGACCTCAAATAGCTGCTATGTTTAAGAGCCCTTTCACAAAATTCCACTGCTGCAGTTTAGAAAATACGGCCGCGAATCTGCCCGACGCGCATGAGCGAGACATCGACACGACGATGTCCAGTATAATGGGATATACCAATTTGATACTTTTGAAACAATTTCATTTTTGACTATTATTAAAAAATCTGACCATCGACAAGCATCGGTGATTCAGTTGTAGAAATTTCGCCTGCTACGTACGTGAGCGGCCCGGGTTTGAATCCCAGCCGAGAAAGGACTTATTCTATTAATGATTTTAATAGTACTCTTGCGTCGTAATTTCATAAAACCACACCTTTTTTTGGGGGAGCTCGATAGCTTAGGTGGTTAGCGCGTTCGACTGCGATCGTTGAAGTTAAGCAACTTTCGCAGTGGTCGGTCATTGGGTAGGTGACCAAAAATCTTCTATCTTGAGTTCCTCTATGCTACGGAATGCACGTTAAGCCGTTGGTCCCGGCTGCATCTGCAGTCGTTAGCACACCGCCAAACTGCACTGGGCCCGTGCGGTGGGTCATGGCCCAATCTAGTTATTCCATCCATAAGTAGGGCCCGTGCCCTAGCAGTGGGGACATTAGTGTAGGACTGAGGAAAACTGGGCCTGTTTCAAGACCAAGAGGAATAGCTGTAATCAGATGGTAAAAGCTGCTAAGCGCCGCTATTTCCATTCTATTCTTCACTCATCTGCCGCAAATATTTGGAAATATCTTTGGTCTCTTGGGTTGATAAGTCAAGAAATGTTTCTCTTCCTCACTTTTTTTCTTTCAATGATATCAACCGACATTTTTCAGCCACTACTTCCTATTTTTTAGGAAATAATGCTCCTCCAATCCTATCCTCCTCAAATCCAATGTTCTCGCAGACATTTCCTCACTAATTGATCCACCTACAAATAGTTACCATTATGTCCCTCAAATCTAAGGCCATTGGGTACGACGGTATAAGTAGGCACATGGTCCTTAATATATTCGATAGTATTCTCCCAATCATCACACACATAAGTAATAAATCGATTTCTTCAGGTGAATTTCGAGACTCTTGGCTCAAGGCTCATTTTGCCTCTTCCCAAAATAAGTAATGCATCTTTCGTTGATATTCCCCTTCGAAACCCAACTTGTAAGAATATTGTATGTTTTTTAATATTTTTTAAGCAGGTGTATTGGACTGACAGTTGTAAAGATAAAACTTTGAAGATTTGATGGTTTAATTAAATAACCCTGATGCTTTATTTATAACCGACATAAAGGATGAGGTAAGTACTCAATTTTAAATACTGCTGTTCACACATTCGTCGATTACGATGAGTCAGTTGCAGAACGCTATTGTTTAATGCCTTTTCTTTCATTGAAAATAAGATTTTAATACATACTGAAAATAACCCGTGAAACGTAATGAAAATAATTTTGTGTGATGTCATTCTTTATACTAGATATAAAGAAACGTGAAACGAAACAATGATACCAATAATTTATAATTTGCTACAGTATTTACGGAAATATATCGATATATACTTTTTACAATGAACCGTTGTTTGTATTCATATTTTCAGTTATTAGGTTCAACTTAAACTGTTTTAAAACATTTGTCTTTGTTCATTGAATGCAGCTGCATAAGTATTACACATGCGCAAGGGCGGATCCAGCTTTGGCGCCAGGGGGGCGGGGGAGGGGGTCATATGGTTGTGGTATATTAAATATTGAAAGTACTTAAATAAAATTCCTGGGTCATGAGCCCACTCCATGACCCAGGCCAGATCTAGTGCCCCCCCCCCCCCCCCCCCACTGGATCCGAACTTGCACATGCGGACAGTGTTTAGCTTTGATTTTGTATGCAACCCGTTATCTATAGAATTGTTGATCGAAGTTCATGCACCATAATATAAGCGACACACTTTTGAGCTTCGAGTGCCATATCTTCCCTTTATGTTTTAATCTAAGGTATAACCATAAAATTGACCAGTTATGCTACCACTACCCTGATGGCCGCCTCGAATTTTTCCTAGCCTTAAGCTGCAAGGTAGGCAATTGCTAGATGTTTAAATCTAATCTTTTCTTTAGATTTAAACATCTATCAGTTAAATGCTTAAAAAAAATAAAAACATAAAAAATACATAAACATAGGTTAATGTTATCGCTTTGAAATAACATTCACCCATGCAAAGTCGGGGCGGATCTAGTTCATAATAATTTACATTTGTTCTATCATAATGTTTATTGAAACAGCTGTCTCGAAATTAGCAACCTGCGAATACGTATTTTTATACAATTCACATGTTAATTAACACTTAAGTAAACCTTCGAAAATCCATAATTGGATATCAAACATATTTGCTTTTTTAAATTAGCATTTTATTTTTCATAGCTAAGTACCTGACACCTTGTACAGTTAGATTAAATTGTACGGTACAGTTCCGACACACGAGTAACTTAATTCTCGTGTGGTTTAGATAAATCTTGACCCACTTAAGTACTTTGATGATTCGCTCATAATTGTCAAAATAGTTAAATTTTCAATTCCCCATTTCGCAAATAGTGTTAAAATCTTTTATGGACAAGTTTCAAATTTTGTTTGGGTGTCTGTAGGCCAAGCTTAAAACATTAACTACTTCAATGACTCTAAGGTCCTTTAAGTATTTTCATCTATCGTATGGTAAAACTGTTTATTTGGGGGTTGTATTTAATAATTGAGTCTTTATGAAACCTGAAAGTCGTCAAAGCGATTTGGCTACGATAACTCTCAAGTCTATAATTTGAGGAACCATGTAACGCTATGGCATAGCCCATATAGGAAATACACAAGGAGAACGGTTGCTCACCTTGTTTATTCCCTCCATATTCGACCTTCCTGACCAATTTCAAAATATTCATTTATAGTTTTTATTTAGTTTGAATTCAATTCCGGCAAGGCTGCCAAGGCTGAGGAGCTCGATGGCGCAGGTGGTTAGCGTGTTCGGCTGCGATCGTTGTAGTTAAGCAACTTACGCAGTGCTCGGTCACTGGATGGGTGACCAAAAATTTACTATCTCGAGTTCCTCCGTGCTTCGGAAAGCACGTTAAGCCGTTTGTCCCGGTTGCATCTGCAGTCGTTAGCACCCGCCAATCCGCACTGGGCCCGCGTGGTGGGTCATGGCCCAATCTCCCTATTCCATCCATAGGGAAGGCCTGTGCTCCAGCAGTGGGGACATTAAGAGGCTGATGATGATGATGATGATAAAGGCTGCCAAAATAATTTTATTTATTTATTTATTTTGTACACACACAATAAAATATTACATAAAAGAGAAACAAGAGACATGTACAAGGGCACTGCTTATTTCATAATGAAATTTCTTCCAGCAGGCCCGCGAAAGGAAAGAACATAGAAAAAGGCAGTCAGTGTGTGCTCCTGAATAAATATAACATAATACATATGCAATACATACAATAACATACAATACATATATAAATAATAAATATTAACTAATAAATTGATAAATATTAATATAAAATAAATAAAAGCAAACTAGGAGAAGCAACAAAGTTTTAGATTTTCAAGTAGAAAGGTAGTGTTCCTTCAATCGTTTTTTAAAGGTAGAAATGGTCTGGGCGTGTCTGATTTCTGCTGGCAACGAGTTCCATAAGCGGATGGCATGTACTGTAAAAGAGTAGGATGCAAAGTCAGTTTTGTGAGTAGGACATTTGAGAAGGGATTTTAGGTGGGACCGGCAAGGAACATCAAGCGAGTGGGTGAAAGAGAACCGCTCTCGAAGATAGGAAGGATATAAAGGATTGTAAAGGATGTTGAAAAGGAGACAAAGGATTCTGACATTCCTGCGCAGACGTATGGGAAGCCACTTGAGTTCCTTTCGAAAGTTGGAGACGTGATCGATTTTATTGTCAGTCCAGCAGAAATCACATGAAGAAAACAACCATTTTGGTTATATTTTTTTTTAAGCATTTAACTGCTAGATGGTTAATTTAAAAAAAAAATCACTAGAAAAAAAACCACGCGGGCCAGGCAGCAGACGTGACTCGAACCCGCACACTTCGCTATCCGGGCGAATGCACTGACCATTATGCTACCACGGCTCTAATGGCCGTGTTGAATTTTATCCAAGGGTGCAGATTCAACGCTTATAAAATAAAAATATAACTATGATTGGTATTAATTTCTTCTTTCAAATGTTAATACTTATAAAAGTATTCGATTAGCATTATGGGTTACCTACAATGCGAAGAGATGGCGCTGCCTTGCAGCTTAAGAAACACTAGAGAAAAATTCTGCACAGCCATCAGGGCCAGGGTAGCATAATGGTCAGTGCATTCGCCCGGATAGCGAAGGATGCGAGTTAGAGTCCCGTCTGCTACCTGGCCGGCGTGGATTTGTTTTCTAGTAAATTTATCTTTAGATTTTAACGATTTTTGGTTTGTTTGGTGTTATTGTTTAAATCAAGTTCAATATAAATCTTGTTATATTCATTTACTGAAGTAGCTACATATTTTGTAATTTTATGGACACATACGTCTCGTCTCATCATAATTTAAAATTTAAAATTATTTACAACAGTAATCGGAAAAAAGTTCCCCGTATATCTGTAGACAAGACTTTTCTGAGTGTCGCTGCATGTGGGCAAGATATATAATGTTATATGTTTGGATTTTATAAACATAAAATAAAACTGAAAATTTTCTGACATTGTTGATGTTGGCTGTTTCCAAGGACGCCTCATAGAGCATCTTCTGTTGCTAGGCGCCCATCATTACTTAGCCAATAGAAGGCTCGAAGTTGTTCCGGCAGCCTATCAACGAACGTGTGTGTGTGACGTGCCGAATCAATATAAAAAAGACATTATGAAATAGTTTGTTAT